GGGGGGCCGCCCGCCTCCCCGCGGCCCGCTTTCCCCCTGTGCCACCCTTCCCCCCCTTGTGGCGGATGCCGAGCCGTTTGGAGTAGCTTATCCCGCGGTGGAGGAGGTTAGCTAGCGGGAAGCAGTTTCCACGCCGTAGCTCATCTTCGTGTCGCAGCTTGTCCTGTGTCTTGCAGCACAAGGGTTTCTCCCCGCTGCACAGGCAGTCGCCGTCCCAGAAGTGTGCACCACTTTGTGCTGCGACGGCCCTTTCTCTGCTGGCAGGCCCTTTGAAGAAGTATTTGGCGAGGTGTCCCGTAAGGGAAGGTCACGGTTATCCTCATTAATTTCCGCTTCTGGAGTTCTCCCTGTTCAGATTTCAGCCTTTGCGTCGCACATGCGTGTGAGAGGCCCCGCAGCTTGCCTTCCTCTGCATAGGGCCTTCTGCGGGTTCTTTTCTCTCTTGGGTTTAAGATGAGAGGTGCTTTTTGCACATTGGGTGTAGTGATGTGATCTCTTTGGTCTTGGAAGTAGAAGTTACACTGTGCGTTTTAGGTAAGTATCTTGCCAAGATAAGAAGCTGTTTGTGTGGTGTACGAGTAGGTGTGGTTTAGAGGGAAATTCCTGCTCCACACAGTGAATTGTGACACCAAATGCATTTTGCTGTGAAAAACAGTTTTCTAACGATTTCAATGGACTCTAGTTAAGAATTTTAACAAGTAGTTCCCCTTTCCTGACTTGCCAAGCATATGCACACTGTGTGGTAAGATCACATGGCAGTTCCCTTTTGTTTCCCATGGGTTTTAAAAGGTGGTGCAGGTATATCTGAATTAGGGATGAGACAGCAGTAGTCGTGGTTTTGATCAAGTTGTTGCAGGTAACGAGCACGAGACCTTTGGCGGGAAGTCTTTACTTAAGACTAATGTAAAAACAGGATTTGCTTATAGGAGTTGTGTCACACCGAGTGGTGCAGCCTGCGTCGGTGTGTCTTGCCTTTTAATACAGGGTGGCCGGATTCAAATTGCCCACTTTATGCTGTGATGATGTTTTCGTTTGTGAAGTACCTGCATCACAAGGGTTTTCTTTTAAACAGAAAGGTGGTAGCTGGTAAAACTGTGATGGTAAAGCCAATGCACAGCTTTTCTTGTGTGCCTATCTAGGGTATGTTATTTGCTTATCTCTTAGGGATAATAAGTTTTCTTTCGTTTTTTTTCTTTATCCTGTTAGGAGCTGACAGAAGAAGCAAAAGAAGGCGCCTTCTCCAATTTCCCTCTCTCCGAAAGCACCATCAACCTTCTCAATGGTTAGTTAATGTGGTAAAACAAATTTCTGTAAATGTCTGTCCAGAACTGCACTCTGTTACCCATGTAAGCAGAGGCAGAAGCCATGGGTAAATTGTCTTAAATCATCTTACGTTTATTGTGGGGTAAGAATATGCACATGAGTGGTCACTGTAGATTCAAAGAATCTACTGTTGTTAGTAGGAACAAAGTTTCTGTTTTGTTCAATTTCAAGTGCCTTAAGGTGAGTTTATTCTTCCATGGTGTGGTTATTCCTAAATATACATTCTAGAGACAGGGTTTCTCTTCTTGTCAGCATCATTCTACTTACTATGTATCTTGACTTCAATTCCCATATTTGCTGTCTACAATATCACTTCTTGAATAAGTGTAATGATGTTTTGTATATGAAGACTATTTGGCTCCTGTGAAGAGATTGTCTATAATTATTCTCATATGTTATGGCATTTTCATGTCTCTTCTTGATTACTTTTGTTGAAGAAGTAATCACTGTAGAGGTCTTGTCGTCTGTTGGGAAGGTGTGCGATTCTTGTTCCTCAGACAAAATTCTTCTTGTTCCTTTATGTTTTCCTTGCTCAGAAGTTTCTCTTGGATGGATTGTTTCACTTCTACTGTACAAAATCTCTCTGAAGTTTCAGAACGTTTTGAAACGAACACCATCTCCCCACCTTCAAAACCAAGCTACCACAAAATCTTGGGCTGTATCAGAAAAAACCTGTTGGGTTTTTCCTTTTTTTTCTTTCTCTCCTGTTGTCTTGTGCCAAACATCATGAAGAAGGCTATATTTCATTGTGGACGCTCAGCTGTGTGTTTGGGGGGGAATACCTTTTGAACTAGAGTAGGAGTAAAACCAAAGATAAGTGGTTTTCTTGTAAGTTGCATCTCCTGTTACGTACAGGATTTGACATGATGTGCCCTACATATTCCGCCTAGTTATATATGAGGGCTTCTAATTGTGCAGCTTGCAGTAGAATTGGCATGTTTTAATGAAACCTCTTTGGATTATCTTCCAGCTCGAGGTGTAAAATACCTGTTCCCTGTGCAAGTGAAGACTTTTCAACCCATTTACGATGGCAAAGACCTAATTGCTCAAGCTCGAACGGGAACTGGGAAAACGTTTTCTTTTGTTCTTCCGCTGATTGAAAAACTTCAGAGTGTCTCACAAGACGGGAGAAGAGGCCGTGCACCAAAAGTAACTTGCTACTTAAGGTTTAACACTGAACTTTTAGAATATGGCAGTTTTTGAAAGTGATTTTGTAATTGCTATGGCGACTTTTGTTTGGGATTTTTTTCTCCTTTGTTGGTGTTTGTAATACTGAACGCTTTCCTCAGATCAGGAGCTACAGTGCAACAGAGGTTTTGCAGCATCACTGTGATAACACATTTCATGTTAAAGGTTCCTTGTGATGACTACGTTTGGGAGAATGGTCAGGACACTGCAGTAGTAGCTAGTGGACTTCCAGACTGCTATTCTCAGGAAGGCAGCATGCGGCTTTGGGTTTGAATCCCCTGCCTCT